TATACTGGGGCATTAGGACCCACATGGACTGCAGGGTGAGCACCCCCTGCCGGCCCCACTAACACCTCTTCCAGCAGCAACCTTAGTTTTTCCCAGGAGGTCTCTCATCCAGGTACTGACCAGGCTCACACCTGCTTAGCTTCAGTGGGTTGCCAGGTGTGAGTTGCAGGGTGATATGGCTGCTGCTGGCAGTAATAACAATAACTAAATTTAAAATTATTTGTTGTTTCAGTTTAGAATATTCTTTTTAGAATTATAACAAATTAAAGGGAAATGTGGACTCACATTTCTGCCAGCCCAGAGCTTTCAGTAGCTGAAGTGTCTTTTATGCTACCACCCACAAACTACAACGTGAATTCACACTGGACTATCTCTGCAGCTCCAAGCCATGACATAATGATGGAGGCTTTAAGGCTATTTAAGATTCCACTTTACCCCAGGGGTTCCCAATCCCTGGTCTTTGATTAGAGTTATTTGTTTTCTATTCTAAAGTGTTTATTTGGCAAACACAGTATTTAAAATGCAACCACCAACTGCCAATGTGTCTAAAAGCTGAGAACAAGCATAAACTTAAAACAAACCCTTACTGATTTAATGATAATTTTAACACAAACCAATAAGTTTTATTGGCTCCAAGGATCAAGATAAGGAACCACTGGCCTTGTAACCCAAAAGTTAAACATCTTAAAAAATAAAAGCAATCAAATTTCCCTCACTGCAGAAGAAGGTAAAATGTAAAAGACTTTTTTTCTCAATACCTGATAGATGTCATTTACAACATTTGCAGGAGTTTGAAGAAACTGACAGTTTGACACCTTGTATTCAGCATAGAGAAACAGGCTGCTGAAGCTCCAAACCTTGTAAACAGATGATCCCAAGCCAAATGCATTGTAAATCTGAAGCCACAAAATTTGAACAGAAAATGAGTGCTTAAACAGACAAACATTTATCTATTTTACTCTGGACAAATCCAAATCATTATTAGGACTTTAGAAAATACATTTCCATCACATATATGCAGACAGCAGTGTAAAAACACCTGAATATTCTATAATAATGAGTAAACAAATAATGCAAACATATTTGAAATAATTAATTGGTAAATGCAGAGGTGTACTTATTAATTTAACAGTATTAAATAACTTTATGATAAATAGCCCCAGACATTGGTGGATATTCTCGTCCACACCATTAGAAAATACAGTTAGAAATTGCTACAATCTTAGTGTTAATGTTTCTAAATTTTAAATGGTCTGTGGATAAATGTATTGATTGAGTAGTGTTTTTCTCTAAGAAAGAGATACTCAGCTCAATTAGGTCAAGCACTTTCACAAAAACATCAGGTGCTCACTATTTGAGATTTGAACTACGTTGAAATGAACAAAGTCTACCTAAATATCCAACTGTGCATGCCCTGTGCCATGTCTGCGAAAGAAGTTGCCTATAGAACGAAATCTTCTCCTTTAACAAACAGCACACTACACCAAAGAACCCAAGAAATAAGCTCTGTGAGGGACAAAACATGTCTTAACACATACTGTATGTCTGACCAATCTGCATAATCATCTGCAGACTGCACTGGCTGCAGCATAAGAAATTCCATAAAATATACTGTAACTCATCTGGAGAATGACTGTGGTTTGCAGTTTACATGGACGTTTCTGCATGCTCAGAGGTTATTCAGAGGTGACACTGACCTTAATCAGTATTACCGAGGGGTATTAAAACATAAAGATATAAAATGCTTATATTTATGAAAGTAATCATTAATGTATGAGTTGATTCCCTATAAGTAGTTGGGTAAGAACTGTGAGGTTTCTGCTGTGGGAAAATACAGCAGACCTGAAACAGCATAAAATGGTTTACTTTTACAATGAAACTATTCGCATATAAATTGTAGAGTTTCAGTTAAAACAATGGATCTACATGTTCATGTGGTTTAATGTTACTTGGTATAGGATGAAGCACTTGCATCACTGGTTTAAACTGTATGAGCCACACCGGGAGGCCAGTCTTACCCTGCGCTCTGGGTCCAACAGCATGTCATATTTGCAGCCTGTTTCCTCAAGCCAGTACCGAGCCCCCTCACAACAACCAAACGAGATCACCAACACTCGTACAGACAGAGCGTCCAAGAGACCCTGTGGCACAAGTTAAAAACACAATGAGCTGGAAAACGAGGCTGGCTTCCTCATACATTTCATATGACACCTTGAATTGAAAAGTGCACTGAAGCTGATATCTCAACAGCAAGCAACACTGTGTGGTTTTTATATCAAACTGACTTTTTTGTGCTTAGAAATTTCTTCCAAGAGAAAAATATACAGTATAAGGGCAGGATAAGCCAACTAAGTTGTGTGTTAGGGTCATGACTTCAAGTACACACACAGGGCTTAATGATTACATATTCAACAGTCAAATATACATAAAAATACCAATTAGGTTCACTTTTATGAATCCAGATTTACAGACATGACAGTTTCTCCTCATAGGTTCTTAACCACTACCAGTAACAATCTGCACATGTGACTGGGTGCTCTAAAATGTATGCAAGACAGACAGCACTATGTCACATGAGAATGCTACTTAAAAAGGGTACTGTGGCATAATTCAGAGTGTATAGAAAATATAAAAAAAATATAAATAAAATAAATATAAAAAAACATATATATATTCAATTAGGGGTAAATAGTCCTACCTGATTGGACTCCAACTCTGCCATGTGATCTCGTCAGGGGAGTCAGGCAAAGTGCCTCAGAAGAACCAGGAGGAGGCTTTTATCTTTGCCAAAGTAACTGCCCAGGGAGACAGACCTACACAACAGACACAGGGCCAGAGAATTCTGGGCGTCTCACTGAAGCAGCCACCACTGGTTTCTTACAACATGCCAACTATATAACACTTTTCCAAAGGTAAGGCACTGATACAAAGAACCTCATTTTTAACGCACTTGTGGAGCAAAAATGGGTGGTGTTTATAATTCAAATTGAATTTGACACAGTTAAATACCTCAGATACAATCCTAATCATAAATGTACGCACAAAGTTATTTATATCGCATTTTCTAAAATCTAAAATTTCTCTACAAGGTTTTTGAATGCTTCTTCAGTACTTAAATATTATTTCATAAGACTGGAAATATCACAACACTTGTAATATAAGAACATATAAGGACACACTCTGCCCATCTGGCCCATTTGGTAGTTAGATGTAAAATCATACTAGGATCTCATCAAGCTGTTTCTTGAAAGAAACCAGATTTTTTGCTTTGACAACATTGCTGGGGAGCTCTTTCTATATTCACCACAACCCTTTGAATAATGATATCTTGAAGCATGAAGAAAAGATCTAATGGATAATTACTACAAATTCTTAATGGTTTCCAACACAGCACTTCACATCCATTTAACACCAGAAAGCTGCTGGTAAGGTTCATAAAATGGAAACATTATTAAAAATCCCAAAATAAACAATTTACTTATCTGTCTACAGGTTTCATGATCATTTTCAACCTCATTCTACAACTTCAGAACAGAAATGGTTTAAAAATGTGTACAAGTGCATCCCAATGATATGAATTAGTCAACTAATTTGAGGCAATTTAAACTGATACAAAAAGAAACCTTTGTATCACATTTTCTTCCAGAACATCTCTCAGTCTGTACTGTACAGTCTGTACATCTGTCAGTGTGTACTAAAGAGATGTTCTGGAAGAAAATGTGATACAAAGATTTCTTTTTGTATCAGTTTAAATTGCTAATTGACTGCTAATTGCTAATTGACTAATTGGGCAGAGCAATGGTTCTGTGGCTAAGGATCTGCACCTGTGGCTGGAAGGTTGCCGGTTCAAATCCCGCAACTGGCAGAGGAATCCTACTCTGTTGGGCCCCTGAGCAAGGCCCTTAACCCCAACTGCTCCAGGGGTGCCGTACAATGGCAGACCCTGCGCTCTGCCCCCAGGCTCTCTCCCTGTCTGTGTGTCTCATGGAGAGCAAGCTGGTGTATGTGAAAAGATAATTCCTAATGCAAGAAATTGTAAAGGGTTAATAAAGTGATGTTAAGGTCAGACTCTTGTTGCGAGCATTTTCTTTAAGGTATTAGTTACAAAGATGTTTTATAGGTATTTAGGTGTATTTTATCCTGTTTTAGTGTAATTTTAGTTGTATTAATTTCTATGTTGCATTATATTTCTTATATTCAAAAAACAGGATTCTACATACTGCATTAATATATATACTGATGGAAAAAAGAAATGTAACATTTTCTGGAATGAGAATACTACAGTTATAGCATATAACATATAATATAGCATATAAAGTTAATTTGTTTTAAGCCCTCTGACCAGCAATGCAGTCAGTGAGGCATTGCAACTTGCCAATCACAAGAAAGCTTGTTAGGTGCACTTTTACCCAACAAGGTCCAGGTGGAACAATGCCTGATCAGCTCACCTTTAAAAAGCTTAGGTCACTGCAAGAAAAAGGCCACACTTAGTGAGTTTTCTGTGCATTCCATAATGCCTCAAATGTCACCAGAAGCAAGGAAGAGGCCATTGGCATGCTGCAGGCAGGCATGTCATGTACCAGCATTGCCAGACACTATGGAGTAAGCCGCTGCACTGTGACCCGACTGCAGAGAAGGTTTCAGTAGACTGGAAGGACAGATCCAGTCGCCCTCGAGTGACCACACCAGAGCAGGACCGACACATCAAACTTGTCCATCTGAGAGATCGTTTCAGACCTGCCACCCATACTGCTCCAAAACTGTTGGCAGACACAATGTCCGCATCAGTGACAGGACAGTCAGGCTCCATGCTGCTAGCCTTAGAGCAAGGTGACCTGTCAGAGACTCTCTGCTCACACCTCCTAGATGTCACACCTGACTGGCTTGGGCCAGACAGAGGCTGCGATGGACTTGTCAGCAGTGGCATCAGGTCCTCTTCACAGATGAGTCACTCTTCAGCCTGTTCCATGCAGACAGGAGGGCCAGAGTGTGAAGGAAGAGGTGTTGCGTTTCTTTTTTCCATCAATATATGTCTGTTTTTTAAAGTATTTTCCTCAAAAAAACAAAGCTGTATTTACTTACTGGCCACTTTTCGCATCTGTCAGTGTCACCTCTCCTGACAAATATCCACCCAGAGGAACCTGGCAAGGGAATCTCTCACATAGATTCAGCTCCTTGTCCAGGCCTTTTAAAAACTCATCCCAGTCTACCTGTGGAAATGGAACAAACTCTTCATGAGCACTTATTCTCTTCTGAAAAAGAGAAATTCTGTCCTGCCCAAATACAGAGGTTAATTCAACTCTAAAAATTGAAAAGAAAAAAAGCACAATACTGTAGCTATGAAACATTCTTACCTTTGTAGTTGCATGAATCTCATTTTGTTGAATCTCTTGCGGAAAGTGCTTTGTCATTTGCATTGGCTAAACAGGAAGAAGACTGGCTGTTGGTTTTAGGGAAAGCCATGTCAACAGTTTCTCATTCTGACTATCTCAGGTTTCATTCCACTGACTTCTCGGTCTGTATTGTTTCATAGGGATTCAATGTCTCCCACTAGACATTGACCAGAAATACTTCTTAAGCCAAACCAGTCCTTAAACCAGGTTTATACTTACCCGGCAATCAATGATCAACTGCTTTCTAAATCTCTCCACTCATTGTATCTATTGCTGCCTTCCTACCAGACTCCCAGTCAACCATATTTCCATCTTGAATCCCCTTTGTACCTACTCCTACCTATTCTCATACTTGCTGTCTTTAGTCCACCTTACCTCATCTCCCCTCATATTTCTGCTGCCTTCCTTATTCCCTCACACAGCTAAAACACTGCCCAATTTCCTCTTTTTTATGTTTCAGCATGAAATGAACCTCTTGTTCCTCTGAGTGAAATGTTTGTTTTTTAAATGGCTACATTTTTAAAATGATACCAATACTAGCTCTCCACCCTAAAACAAGAGTCTATTCAAACCAAAAAGGTCCTGATTCCACCTTAATTACACTTTCTTAATTTTTTGTCTTCGTGTCTTTGCTGATTTCCATTGAAGCCTTTAAATTACTCATCTGTAAAAACTGCCAGAGATTACATTGTGGCTATACAAGAGAACTTTAATTTCTTTTCTGGGTCTTCCAACTCCAGTCTTGATCAGCACATACAGTTAGCAGCAGTTAAGCGTTAGTTGACACTAGAAAACTGCACACTTAGAAAGGAAGAACTATCAACGTTTAAAAAACCTTTTGGTTATATCTGTCATCCAAAAAAAACTTAATTTGCAAATTTTATGCCAGAATTCCAAGACAGGCATATAGCCAGGAGAGGCTTACTTCCAGTTGGAGAAAATCTTCAACATGATCCCGCACATCTGAGCAGCTGTCAGGGAAGCACAGGCATTGACATTTTAACCTACACATTTTAAAAAATCTTTATGGCATCTTATTTCAAAATGTACAATATGTGTTCCAAAATAAATAACTTTGACATTCCAGTTAACAAAAATCATAAAGGGGATTCTAACCAAAATCACACATCATAGATTTTTTAAAACCGTAAACCCTCAATTTAAAAGTTTTGTCTGCAGTTTCAGCTCAAAGAGGTCTTGGATTTTACATGATGACATTTTCAGGCTATGTTGTTGCACAGCTACTTTCACCTACAGTTTACCTACATTCAAATGTTTTCTCTGCCAGCTCTTGATTTCCAGGTCATAATAGCACATTGCTTTCAAAACATAGTTTTCTGTCAATTATCTGATCCCCCCATTTTCTACTACATTAAATTATCTGTAATTTATATTCTATTGCAAACTATGCTCTTTAGTGTCGTCTTCAAAACAAACACATCTTTGTGTTGTTGAACTGTAAATGTTAAGAATTGTTTCCTGGTAAAATATGTGGGTTTGGTTGTTTATTTTTCCCCAACTAAGTTAACTACTGTATAGTTGTTAAAAAAACTTTTAATTGTGGTGGATCAATCAAATGGGAAAGACTCTAAATGTAGAAAAGCCGGAGCTACAGTATTTCATTTACTTTGTTAAATACACAAGGATCACAGTTTTCATCACTTAAGGCTAATAGCTTGTGCACAGGTTTCCAACTGTTTCTAGTATAGCTTATATATAGTTTATCAGCAGCCTTGACATAAAGATAAATGACAAGTACAAAACAGCCAGCTCAAACATATAATAGTTTAGCCTTGCACAATGCCAGGGAGCAGCCATTTTAATACATTTTAACACTCAGGTACTCTTTTTCTTGTCACAGAGACCAACATAGCAATCATCATCTTTTTAGAAATGAAAATGCCACTTGAACATCGTTGATCTGAGACATAGCTTATGAAAAGCAATTTGTTCCAGTACCAGGTCTGTCTATAGTATATGTGTTAGGACACAGAATTAACAAATGCCACTGCAGATACTCGTTTACTTATATCATTGCTTCTACTGACGATTTGCACTGCGCTATATGTTTACACATGGACTGGCACAATCATCTGTTCTTAAATCCATAGATAAAGAACGTCTGAAACCTTAAATGGAATTTTGGGTTCTTACTGATAGAACTTCTTCCACACTTCTTCAGCGTCTTTCCTTTTCTTGACTGACAATCTCATTTAAAAAGAAAAAGAAAAGAGTGACACTGAAAACAGATCAAGCTTTTTATTTTTTGGAGGGACAAACTCCTTAAAGATCAAATACTTACCCACACATCACTGATTGGGTGCCAGTGAAGTCCTACATAGTGAGACAACAGAAACCAGCCAGACACACCATATTTTGCAAAAGCAACATGGGGTGTAATAACAAAAGGATAAACTGAAAACTAAATATGCAGATCAAACTTTTTTTCACTGAGTAGACATTTCACTTAGAAGTTGAAGGTTCAAAAATAACAGAGGCCCTTCCAAAGGAATACATTACAATGTAAATAATACACAGAATCCCTAATCCCAGAAATGTAAGGTTGTCCTCATTTGATTATTTTCATACAATCTGATCAAATTAACATGGCTATTATACTTGGCCTATTTCTTTTTGCTGTTACCTGTTCAGAAAGTCGGCAGCTGCAACAGTAAATCCAAGCAAAGAGCCAATTTTCTTCGAGATGAATTCCTGAATAGAGCCTGTGGAAACACCGAACGTTTTTTAATAGCTCATGAGAAAATGAGGGAAATACTTCATTGTAAATTAATACTAAAGGACGTACTGTACAGTAGCATATTGCTACTATTTAATATAGTGAAACTACAAAACAGTAAATTAAGTCGTATTTTTAGGTACTTTTTTCCCGACCATATAAAATATTGTAACGCAACGGGGGTTCCGGCGGGCGCCTTTGCCGCATTAGGTCGACCCCCCCACCGTCGGGGACTCGAACCCGGGACCCAGGCCGGTGAGCCAAAGAGAGATCTCTTTACAGCCTACGGGCTGTGGTTCTGCTATTACTGGGAAGGGCGGTGACGTCACCTGCTCTGGTAAGCCGGCTCTTACACAGTACCTGTCGGCCGTAAGCGTTACAATATTAACTGAAAACGCAGAATTACTACTATTTTCAGAATGGTTTAATATCATTCAAATACTTTTCCAATTCAATTACTGTGTAAATAATACCGTGGGATTACGTTAAACGTGCAGACTTATCGGCCCCTCTTTCATCGCTCTTCTTAACTAGAAAATGATTAAATGAATGAACATATCGTAGTGCTTGTTTTCAATATTTGAATTAGTTACTGCTCTGAGACTCACGGGCAGGGGGGGATAACGAAATTAACCACTACACCTTTAATGCATTTTCGGTACTATAAACAAAATACTACTACAACACCTGCAACGATTTTGATTCCTATTTTTAGAAATGTATAATTATTAACAAGCGCTGTTTTAGAACGAAATACCCTTTATAAACAACTTGGAAAATTATAAAAAATGAACAAATTATTTAAATTGTTACAAGACGTATGCTTTGTGCAACAATTAAAAAGCAACATTTCTAAATTGCAACACGTCCCTCGGGAACGTTCTCTTTTGTTTAGAGAAATGGCATTTAATATTTGTTGTAGTGGTTAAAGTAATACAAGCGATAAGATGATATAAGAATAATGTGACCCTTGCCGTGGCCAGAACTTTAAAAAATCCACATCCAGTTGGATAAGTCCATCTGTGCTTTACCTAGTTAAATCAAAATAGTCTAGATACCGTACCCTCCTGTCTTTCTTTAACGGCCTTTATTAATAGCTCTCTTCCAGCTATAACAAAATCCTCCAACGCCTTAACAAGAATCGCGTCTTGCAATAAATTCACTTCAGCGGCCATTTCCACAGCTGCTATACAAAGCGTAGGCGATCTGTGTGACAAACCAGGAAGCGAAGTTTCTTTTAACAGCAAAAAATCAAGACGCCACCTACCGTGGCGAATGGCGAATGGCGAATTTCAGCAGTATTAAAGGAGGGAAGTCAACATATTCGAGTGTCGAGAAATATCTTATGTTTATGTTATCTGAGAGTAAATAAAAACGTTAACAGAGTACTATACATGTAACCTACTTTCAGATTACACAATTAATATGAGGTAGACGTTACAGACCCGTGCTTTGCCAATATAAAACAAATGTCTCGCAAAGCAATGGGTATCAGTGTATTATACACAGCATTAAAATACTGTACATTACAGATCTATAAGAGGTATCATTGAGAAATATAGAAGAACAATGATAACTGCAAAACCTGCTCGCTCTTTTACACGTGCAATTAATAGTATATACACAAAAGTGTTATGCACCAGATTAATATTCAAATGTCAAAACAAAGTAATCCCATCTTTCAAGGATGTTTCCAAAAGTAAAAAATGTTTCTGTTCTGGAGCAAGTTCATGTAAGTTCTGGAGCAAAACTACTACTCTAACATTATCTCTGAAATAGAGTGCAGAACTCTCATCAAGGTCAGTCAAAAACAGTGGAAAACAAAACAGAATATTCAGAAAAGGGGCATATATGGTTCTGAAGCTCTCCATTAATACATAGTGGGCATGCTTCCAACTGGAATATCTCAACAGGCTGGTGCAGAGCTCTTCAGGGGTCATAGAAACATCTTGCTTACAATGTCTCAATGATGGGGCCCATTCAGGACATCCAGTTAACAGTCAAGACTTGACAATGGACCAAAGTATAGCAGCAGCTGCAATGGCCAGGACTGCTATGCGACAGTGTCTATGAGGCAGAGATTCCTGGCAGTCACCAATGCTAATGGAATCCATACAAGATACAGTACAAGCTTTGTGACTTGTATTTAACCCCCTGTGTGACCTTATAGGGATCAAGACACAGAATGCGATTCAATAAAGCCTGAAACAATTTAAGTGGAAAAAGCTTACATGTAACCTAGAATTATGATATGAACACTGTCAAGTACTGAAAGAACTTTGTGACAAAGTAACCAAAGAAACACAGAACACAAACGCGAATTGTCAAACCAGTTTATTAACCCCCAGAATAAACAATTCTCTTTAAAAAGATTCTTCCTTTTTGAGGCTTCAAGTCCCAGGCCAAAGAGATAATTCACCTAGTCATTGTAACCATGTCTGAAAACTGTCCCCACAATTATGAGAACTCAAATAGTGCAAAAGTGTCCCTATCTTACAGCAAATAAAAGTTGATCTGGATAAATAAAATTCAAATGGTAAAACAGTAGCAAAAAACAGTTTTTTTTAAAGCAATTGCCATTGGCTCTTGCCTTTCCACAAACCTCTCCAAACAAAAAGGAGCTGCATATTTTGTTCTTCCATTCACAGTAAAGCACAAGGGGAAAATGTACAGTGGATCAGAATAGCAGCGGAGGTCAGCCAAAAAAACATTTCCCCTACATTTTTTACCTACTTTTTAAAAATGTTTCTCTCCACAGTGAGAAACTCTCCACAGTGTTCAAATGCTCCTAAAAAAGACAAACGCATTTACTACCACTGTAAACGATCAAGTGTACACACCCCTGTAGTTATCCCTGAACATGTTCGATGTATGTGGCATAGATCATAATGCACACAAAATATAACAATCATTTTAAAAGTGCAAACACTGAATTGATTGTACTTCATGGCACTCCTTAAAGAGGTTTTTTCAATTCAATGGCATTACCACTACCTTCGATTGGTGAATTGCAAAACAAATAATGGAAACCAACAATTTGGCAATGACTAGGACATTCTCCAATGCCAAACATTTTAAAGAAATCACAGTTGCCTTCTTTGACAGAACAGATGATTGTTTCTACTTTTTTTTTCAAGTATTCAATTTTGTGTCACAGAGTCCTAATCTGCATCACTTCACTTACATTCTCTGCTCATAGCTTGGTGAACATAGCAGTTATAAATACAATAAGTGAATAACTGCCTTTTTACATTCTGTAGCAATAAATGTCACTCCTAGGCCCGGGGTGCTACTATGTCTTCAGGTTTTTACTCCATGTTTCTAAAACGTATTTGGACCAATTGTTCACTTAATTGATCTAAATGAAGACTTTTTCCAGGTCTTCACTCATTGAGGATTAGCATTCCTCAGTGCTCCTCCAGGACCATATGACCAGTCTCCAGCTTTAAGATCACACCCAGCTGCAAGTTAAAAGGTTGGGTTTAACTTAGTTTTAATAAACACATTGCCTTGTTCTTAAGTAAAGACTCTCTTCTACTTTTGCCTTTGGCATTCTTGTAATACTAAATTGTTAAATACTTTTGGGTTCAGCTGCATGCAGCAATTATGCAATTATTTGAAATCAGTTTATTAAAAGAAGCAGAAAAATATTGATTAGGGAACAGTCATGTTTTTTATGCCGTTAGTTACTATTTTATCAAAAACATTTTTTTAGGGCTTATAAAAAGCATCTTGCAAGGCGATGCTTCAAATACTGCTGATTAATTAATACTACTAATGCAGCTCTACTTCTGAGAATTTAACTTTTTTCTTGGGAAGACCTCATTTTTGAGGAACTCCTTATGAACCTTTGGAATTCATGGGGCAAATATATTAGCAGCCTGACAAATATGTTAATCTTAAGATTAAGTGCTAGTTCAATTCACAGTTTACAGGAAAATGTGGGCTGGAAGGCAGGCTTTGAACAGGACTAGTTCTAAATATCTTATTGAATTGAATAAGCACATGCTCTACCTCCCTAGAAATATTTAATAATACTGTAAATACCCCCCTTCTTAGAGTGTCTAATGATATATTATGCTCTCACAATTTGAAAAGCCAGTTGCTTGTTTTTCATAAACCCCATGACCACACACAAGGGAGAATAAGAAGGAGCAGACGGACATCTCTGATCCTCTCGCCTTCAAGCCATTCATCAATCCAAAATCCCAATACATGATATTTCATACGTCATGGGCAACACAGTCTGTGCAGGACGTCCAGCGCTGTCTGGGGAAAAATGTATCCCTCGAGCCTGGAAGCGTACAGGAAGCTGCAAAGAAAGTCTGTACAGCCCTGACTGAATATTCCGCCCTACCCTCGACAGAGCCCAGCCAACTGTGCAATGACATAGGAGGAATCCCAGTCCCAGATGGTTAGTAACATGACCCAGGCATGAACCCACGGTCATCAAAATCAAAATGCACTCAGGTGAGTGTCTTAACCAGATATGCTGATCAGGAAGCTCCAGGGACATTTTAGATATGTAAATAGATATTATCGGTAAACGAACTGACAGTGATACTGTACATTAATTTACTCCTAGTTGAAAGACTCATGGCTATCAAACTGAAGTGCAAGCATGTACAAATGGAACCTGGAAATACCCTGCTATGAAACTAACAACTATTTAACACTCCAATTCCTGAATCTTATTTTCAAAGAATGCAGAGTTCTTGAATGGAGGATCATATGGATATCTTATTGTGCCCTTTAGGCCCATATTATTAGAAATTCATGAAATAGATGTTCTAAATCCTAAAGTAAAAAGTAATTTCTTCCCCTCTGGTTATAAATGCCTGAATCTACAGTAATTCCACAATTAGCTGCAAAAGAACAGTATAACCATTGTGTCATTCTGCTAAACTTGAAGTATGTTGTCTTGGATTTGGGCAAGCTTTTAAAGCAAACTTCACATGAGAAGATGTGGGAATCTCAAGTAGCCCCATTTACAAAGTCTCCTTTACTATGTGCAGAGAAGGCAAGTCAAGCATTGACTTTTCTTTAACCCAGGAAGCATTATTAGGATTTCTTTGGACAATGTGAAGTGGTATCTGTGTTCAGGACCTCAATCATTGTTCTTGTCATGGGAAATGTTTCCGCCACTGATGGAAGGCTCTGGTACCAGGCTGGAAGGCTTGAGAAGTAAGAAAAGAAAGACAATTAAATAGACATTGATATAATATGAAATACCAGCATACCAGCACTTAAAGGCAAGGAAGAAATCATAACACATCTTATGAAAACAAGAAATTTGCTCTGGATTAAAGAGCATTGGTGAATTTGCATACAGTTACTTTCTTAAACATCATGTACTTTAATATTATTAAAGTAATCTAAACGTACAGTCTAGATATAATCATGCCTAATTAATGGTACTCGAAAATGTCAACATACAGTACACACACATGGAAGGGTGGTTTGAAAGGTAGAGACCTTACTACAGAAAGAATGCAGGCAATTGTGGTTATATTGAGCTCTCACCATCTGTATTTTAAAATTCAGTGTGGTTACGCTCTGTAACTAAACTCTGTCTTTCACAGGTACAACAAAAGAGGAACTGAAAATTCCAAAATTATATTATGCATCATGTCAACACTTTTGTTATGCCTTTAGAATGAACATGATGGCATGTGATATTGTTGCATCTATTTACAAAGGATCTCCTGCTGTTTTTTCAACATTAGGCTCAGAACGTTTCAGACCACAGCTACACATATTTATTTTTAATTATAAGTAATTATGTACTGGACCAATTTCACTGGATCTCCTAGCCTTAATAGAAGGAACAAGAAGAGGTTAAATCCACCATGAAAGAAAAAAGAAAAAACATTTTGACTTCATTTGGGTGAAAATGGATCCATAACTAAATCAGTTATTTTTTTCTCTTTTGTTTTTACTTTATGTTATGGGATTAACCTCTTCTTCCTCCTTTGTAGTTTATACTTGGACAGAGATTCCCACTCTAACCTCTTTAAGTTCATCCAGCTCTTTGCTACTTTACTGAAGCTCTCAGGACTTGGGGCGGTCATCGCTTCAAAATCTACCAGCTGGAACAAAAAACAATACATAAGACACTGACACTTACAGAAATGTCAATAGAGCTGTAGAAATATTGGAATCCAGTTACAGCAATTAACTACAACACTTACTGTCAATTAACTCTCACTTACTAGAATAAATAAGTGCTAATAAACACAAAGTAGCGTATAAAAGGTATAAATATGAGTTCGACTTTTTCAATCAGTACAATTGCACTTCATAAATGAATAACTGTTTTAATTAACCTACACATATGCTTATGCTTACGAACACACACATACAGTATTTACTTTAGCATACACAGAACGGATATGTACAGGTAGTGGACAGAAAAATAGAAACTCCTCAGTAAATGAGGGACACGAAGCAAATTGAAAGCAAGGGCTTCCACACAGATGTGGCTCATGAATTAATTTAGCAAATATTATCCCAGAATGTTTAAGGTCATGTACTGTATAAAAATGTTGGATAGGCCTAATTGCCTATAAAAGGGGTGACCTCAGCTTGAAAGGGGTGATGGTGATTGTTGGGACACATTTGGCAGGAGCTACAGTAAGCAGGAGGATGCCATGTTTTACACTATAATTTCACCACTTGTGGTTTTCACTCTGTGGACATTACAGACTCTACAACACTTCAGTTAAAAGCATAGACATGGTACTATGGACAAACTAAAAGAAGTTTATAAACAGTGGCCTAACTCAGGTTTCCCTGCCTTATTAGTAATAAGACTGGCTTGACAAAGAGTGTTTGTTCAAGCCTTGTTGAATCATGGCTAAAAGCAAAACATCCTCCTGGAATTGGGAGGAGCCTCATGTCCCAGCATCTTGTCCAACTATACTGTATAAACCACTTTTATACTCCTAAGACAGGACTTTACTGCTTTAAAGTTAGATTTTGTACCTTTCCTTTTGGAATTTTCCCAACGACTTCCTTCCCACTGGCCATCAGTGCACCCATTAAAACAGAGTACGCTACCACACTGCCCAGAACAATCAGATGAGAAAGATCTGTTAAACACAGCTGCATTTAAATGATACACATTTGACGTCTATCCAAACCAATAAAGAAGCCTTTGATGCAACACAGAGAAAATCCTGAGTGATATACTTAGACAATTAAATTAAACCAAAAAAATGTTTGTACAGTATAATGTATAGATACCTTGAACCACGGGAGAGAGGCATTAAATTATAGAAGTAGTAAACCAGAGAAAGGATTAAATTGCAAACAGAATCTGCATCCTGGAAAAAGAGAACAGACAATTAGAGTTAAAGATATGAACTTACATGTTCACCTATAAGAAGATGCATTCATAAGAATCATAAGATATATCCATAAAACTACTCTACACAAATGTTATAGCTTTGTTATCTCATCCTTTGAAATTAGAAAAAAGAGAAAACAAGCATTTTTGTAAGAAATGGGTGCTTATGAGCTGGCGTGTACAAAGGTTATGTTTGCTCCTTCTGCATGAGGATCCACCAGTTTCATTCAATGCCAGCACCAAGTGGCCAGAGCTTCCCTGATCTATTCATCTACTGTAGTTCACTAGACTCCAGACTAGTTCACCAGACTGACAGGACATGCCTGTAATTTACCCAGACATAGACCCAGCTAACCGTCTGTATCGACCACGAGGTAACAACTGAGGGATTGTTTCCACACAACTACAGGCACTAACACAACTCGGTGCAGTGGAAGACCTGTAACCCTGACTAGAGTTATTGGATTATTCAGACACAGTGGTAACCGCATGATGTGAGACCACCTCATCTGTACCAACCACCTTAAGCCTGTCATTGCAATTATTAAACTGCATATTAGACTGCATAATTGGCATGTGGTAGCATCTGCAAACATGAAGTTGAAATCACAGATTTGTCACAATTGATTACAGGTAAAATTCAGTGACTGATCTACATTAAAAAACCTCTTCAAAACATCTCAGCTATTTAAAAAATGAAGAATAAAAGCAAAATACCCCAAGCTCAGTAGACAGCATCAGTGCTTTCCCTTTGGCAGTGAGATCCTTATAAAGTGATTCGATCTCGGACTGATACTGCTGTGTGCGCTCTTCTGTCGTTTGCGTCTCCACAGAAAACAGCATGTTTCCCACTCTGATTACAAGAACAGGAAAAAAAGATATAGCACCAGTCAAACTTTCCTTAAAGCACTAAGCAGAAAACATTTCTCCTAACAGTAAAAGGACAAGATTATTTAAAGACTATACAAATCCATGGAAACATTTCATGTCACCGGGTTTTGTATGACAAACACTTGTAAAATCTATAAAATCTCAGGTATAATCCTCTACTTTTAAACCTATCTGATATTCAAGTTTTCCACATATACTGTACAGCAGCTTCAGGACATTTGTCAATGCTTAATCATCTTAGTGAACAAAAAATAATAAAAAGGTCATATAATAACATGCCCTGCTAACTCAATTTGTTTACATCTGCTCTTTTTCAGGTAATTGTTGTGCATCATACAAAGCAGATGACTCACAATGTTAAATGATACTAATCTCTATTTACCATATATAAACTCCATGGAAAAAGTGACTGAACCTCACAGGGGAATTTTCTTAAATTTTTGTACAATTACAAGCAAAATGACATGTGAAAAACATATTCAATTCCCAACTTTAAGCAGATAATACAACTATTTGTAAACAGTTTTCTGAAAACTTTTATTAAACATAAATATAAAAATATCTAGGCTCTTCAAAACATGAGATAACAAGATCTTTTATAACGTGTGTAACAATTTCACATTGGTTGCATGGAATTAAAAATTCTTTGAGCAGCTTTTAATAATTTGTAATCGTCATAAATGTAAGTTTATTCCAGTTCAATAGTAAAACTCAGTGTTCACTTTCATCCATTCTGTGATTAAGATACATTTTTCAGACTGTGTTCATCCCCAATTCAACAAGATTTTGATGACCTGCTAGCTACTCCCTCACCAGTTACCAGTCAAACTCACCTATTCAATGTGATCTTAACTACTTCATACATTCACCATCTGAGAAGGTGGACAACAGCTAAATGAATGATAATGGTGGGAAAGTGATTGGCAGGCTTCATCTTGATGAATATAAAAATAGTCCAGTTTCCTCAAGAAATATTTTGAAAACTTCTAGTTTTTCCAAATTGATATGTCAAAAACTAGTATGATGCATTAGATAAATTAAGAGATACCAGACAGAGGACTTCACATATAGTACAGTAGGACTCATTGATAAACCTGCAAGCTCATAGTCATTAAAAGCTCATTGTATGGCAAATGAAAAGATATCCTGGACAGATCTGAAACTATTCAATGCTGGTGGTGTTTATTCCGTTTTGCACAACCCCCACCAGGAGCTTCTGGTCAAAAAGTGCTAATAATATATCTTAGATTTAAACAAGCTAAATCTGAACTATAGACCCCAACACGACTAAACATTTGATGAATTTCATACACAGAGGAGAGGAAGACAGAAAGTTAAGAAACAAAGGAACTCAAGAGCCCCTGGACTGTACCTGTCTCCAGTTATTGTAATGGTGAAGCCATCATATTCTTTCCCAGAATCTTTTAAACTGGGTACCTTGGAGTTCACTGTAAACCCATCTCTGGTTTTACTGTTAAACTGCTTCATATGGACAATAAGACATATAAGTGTACGTGTACATTCACGAAAACAAAAGAAACATCCAATTTCATAAAATTAAAATATGAATATGCCTTTTCCAGAATAACAGATCCTGAAGATGACATGCAAAAAAGCTAAGAAATGCAAAATTCACATAAAATAAAAAGTTTGAAAATACTACAGGCTCAACAATTCACTCAAAGCCTCCACTATTATCTCCTATGATAACTTTGACCGTTATTAAAACAGCTTAGATGGGGTGAGTAGAGACCAAACCTGTCATTTAGCAATCTTTAATTCACATTGATAAGAATCATTTTTGTTACCTTCATTATGGGGAGAAGGTCTTCCACTTTATTTACATTCTCCAGTGCCTGTCTAACTTCTACAAGCCCTCGTGAGTTATATGCTCTGAGAAGGACATAAAAAATAATTTTAAAAATTGTCATTAAAAGTATTTGGGGCATTACGGTGGCACAGTGGTAAGCATTGTTCCCTTGTGGCATTGGTGATCTGGGTTCTGTTCCTGGGGTGCTAATAATCTGCATGGAGTTTGTATGTTCGCATGGGTTTCCTCCAGGTGCTTTGGTTTCATCCAACAGTCCAAAGATATGCTGGTGGGTTAACTTGCTTGTGGGAAGATTAGCCCTGATGAATGCGTGTTTGAGTCTGTGTGTGCCCTTCACTGGACTGATGTACCATTGATGGTATACCTGCCCAGTGCTTCCTGTGACTGGCTCTGCACTACAGTGAACCCAAAATGAATAAGCGGTTATTGAAAGTGGTGCGATATGATTAAAAGAATAAGCTATCATAATCAAAAATGTCTTCCTCAACAGCTTATCACTTGAGTTTGGAAAAGCAGGTGATAAACTGAAGTTGCAATAAACATTTATGTTCTTAATTACAAAGATGTGAGAGAACACTTTTTGTGTACATACACAAAAAAAACTTGAGTTAGCAACTACTGTATGTACTGTGGACAAGGCCATAGGCAAGTACAAAGAGATTAATGTCACCCTGCCTTAATGGCATGATTATGTCATAACAGCACAATGGCAGGACGTTTTAATTATGTTTAAGTATTTTTGTATTTTTTTTTAAACTTCAGAAATAATTTTCTTCACACTTTTAAATACTGTATCTAAATGGTTCTGTGACCAAGGACACAAAAATGAACTGAAACCCACAGAAACCTCAGGCTTTACTTTCTGGATTTCTTCAGTGACCCTGACTCCCAAAAGTAGGAAAAAGTCAGTCATTTAAGAACTGCAAATGAGTGACTCACCCGTGGTAAACCAGTATTCTGTCTTTAATGAAGTTAAGTATGCTGTCAAAGTATGCCAAGTACCGAATGTTTATGATCTGACCCCTAGGAAATAAAAAAATGTCATTATTAAGAATAATTGTTTTTATTTATAAACATTTAACCTTTTAACTTTTTAGTAAGCACTTCAAGCAACACACTATGGTTAAGACTCCAGATTCATATGCGGAGTTGCACTGATTAGCAATTATAGTTTATTATTGGGCTTAGCTTCACATAGAGCTATTCTTAAAATAAGACTAGTAAATAAGCATTATCTCTTGAATGAAAAATGCAGTCACTATCATCTTACAGCAGTAACATCATAAACAAATGAGAAATTATAAACATCTCCAGTATGTTATGGATGCCGCTTCAGCTGCTGAAGGAACAAATGCAGATCTCTGATCTCTGTTTTTAAAGCAAGAAACTTTTTTGAAAGATACTTCCTACAGCTTATGTAACTCGAAGCAACTGTGTACTGAACACCAGAATTTGAGACGGCAGAGTAATAGATTATTTGAAATCAAGAACATGCATTTCATACTGCTTAATACTGTGCTAAAAAGGATAGGTAGCATCATCATTTCCTCCAGCAAGTTAATGACAAACACACTGATGTTACCTGATAAGGTTGATATGGTTGTTAAAGCCTCGACTCAGACTTCGAGCCGGCATTTGATCCAGCCATAGAACTGGTTGGTCTGGATCTGCGATCCTGCAATACAAAAATAGTAAAAAAAAATACAACCTAAGATCACAGAGAAATATGATGATCAAAGAAGTTCAGTCCATTAGCCCTGGTGACCTCCAACACTAAAATGCAGAAGAGTTATTTGGGTTCTGGGGGGGTTGTAACCTTCAGAGAACAGCAAAATATGACGAAAACAGCCAAGAGGCCCTGCACCTTGGCCAAGGCTCATAATGAAATTGTTTATGAACTCCATGTGGTAAAAGGGGCAATATTTATTTTTGTTAAAAAACATCTATGAAAAGCATGAATGGACACAATTTGTCTTAGTTGCATTACACCTCAAAAATGTCTCGTTGTCATTTATACTTTGGACATTAAAACATACGAATACAGAAACAGGCAGCATGGTGGCACAGAAGTTAGCATTGCTGCCTCCCAGCACTGGAGCCCTGGGTTTAATTCCCAGACTCTGGAGTTTGTATGTCCTCCCCGTGTTCGGTTCCCACAGTACTTGATTGGCTTCTGTGAAAATTGGCCCTGGTGTCAGTGTGCCCTGTGATGGACTGTATCCTATATGCAGGGTGGATCCTGCATTATGCCCATTACTTGTCGGGATAGACCGCATGACTCTGAATAGGATAAAGATGTTAAAAAATGAAGGGATGGGTTATAGAATTATTCAATTCTTTTTTGAAACAGTAAAAAACTGAGATACAGTACTGTATTTTTCTTTATATAATTCTCAAGACATGCACAGGGATCTTAAGAGTCCTGATACTTGGAAAAGCTGTTAGTTTAATGTAATGCACTTTTGTTTTGTACAGTAATCCAACACATTACAGTGAACAATGATGTTATGAATGAGATGTGTGTCTTTTAAAAGCTTACCTTCTCCACTTTACCGCAATGTCAAACATGTCCCTCCACTGCATCTGTCTTGTTTTGCCATTAACTCGGACTTTAGAGTTGCTCCAAGTGCGCTGCATAGCCTGCATAACTTCTAAAGTTGCAAGTCCCATGGCTAAGGATAGAGGACGTATAGTAAATTTTACATTTTTGTAAAACAAACTTCAGACCTTGAAGCCTTTTGTTTCTATTTTGAAAGGCAAAAAGGGTTTTCCTTTAACCTGCGGACCTGATTCTGATTTCAGACCGGCTTGTAGCTATACCTACAATAAGAGTGTGCCTGTTCCTGTAATATGCCATTGTAGCCATTGGATATTTCTGATCTCCTTGTTGTCTAACAGGATCTACAAAATGTGCCGAACTGAAGTTTTCTGTTCATGTAACCTGAAGCATATCCGATTGCTCTGCAGTCAGGACCTTATTTCCCTGTTCAGCCACCCCTGCAAAAAAGTTACTACTGAAAATGTATCACTGCATTTTCAAACATTTACTAAGGTTTAAGTTCAGTTTTGCTACAGTTTCCTTCAGTTCTAACCTCTTCACCTTACCTTTTTACACAAGCAAGATGTACAGGGTTATAAGGAACTTTCACTGTGGTATAACATGGTTTACACATGAACCCGTAAATCAAAAGAAATGCTAAGGAAAAACTTCAAATATACAGGGTTATTATATTTTACTTAAACTGAGTAATCATGAAGTTGTATAATGTCCTAGTTGTAACCACACTAAGAACCACAGTAATCATTAATAAAAAATGCGCTGAACACAGGCTCATTTCACACTTCAAATGATGATAGCTTGAATGAACCAAATCTTTATAGGCTCAGCAGACAAGAAGAGAGACAGGGAGACTTATGGATATTGAACAAGACCGACTGCATCAGATAATTTAATCTTAGGTTTGCTGATCTAGTTCACTTTGATTTTTTCAGCAATCAATGCTCCATTATGGTTCTAGAATGCTATATTAACCACAAGATATGAAAGAACAGTGAGAGTCTGTTTTCTTTCTGGACATCCTTTCTCTGGTTTCTGAATGCAATAATTCATGACACAAATAGAAGGTCATTTAAAAGTCTTTCCCAGAGCTGGAAAGGGGCAGGCTAACTTAAATTCAATTAGAATCATTTAATTTAAAACAGACAAAGATATAAAAAGCAGAACAACGGATATTTTTATGGTCCTCTCGCAGCTTTTAAGTGTCCTTCTGAAGTTTTCTGAAGTTTTCTGTCCAAATTTTATATAGGCATTATATGGGAGAAAGCACACATTTTGAAACTTAACTTGGTATTTAAATTAAATATTATAGTAGTAATATGGTTTGCCCCCATTTCTGACAAATAACTTGCAATCGGCCCTTTCAGAACTATGCTCCATTAGTGGAAATGCTCCAAAATTACTATAATTGTTCTAAGTATCTCTGCTACCGATACTAAGATGTGGCAGATCACTATATACAAGGAAACTTGCAATAATTCAAGGTTACCTAAAAACATGACTTTCAGAAAATATCACCATTAACAAAAATAGAACCCACAGTGAGTAACTGCTTCCAATAATATAGTTTCGTTGGAACTACAGCCAATATTTCTAAACATAAATAAGCCTTCTATGGCTAAAGTCAGGATATTTGTAAGACTGCAATGCCACAATCAACAACTGAAATCAAACTACCCTAGTTTGGAGAAAGTAGGTAACAGAATGGAAAACAAGCCATTCAGTCTAAAACATCGACACAATTACACTCCCATTGGTGACATTCATGCAAACAGTTAGTCAGCTCTTGATTTTTTTACACTCTGACTGCCTACCTCTGTGCATCCTGTGGTTAGGAAGAAATCCTGGTGTGTTGTACTGCATAAGGCCACCAAGGTGATCTGCAGTGCAAATGAGTTTCTGAACTTCAGAGGTATAACTTTCAAAGTTTTGAGGTAGAACATCCCTTCAACAAGGAGAAGAAGAGAGATTGTTTTTTAACCAGATGAGGCTCAAATATGAAAAAAATGGCACTGTATTTCAAAGTCACAATCTGAAATCTAGTACAAAGAAGTCCTCTTCATTCACAAAAAGGTGTCCACATTATAGCTCAGCATATTGTGTTGTGCTGCAATTTGTAATATTTCATATTAGCATTTATTTACTAGTTGGTTATAAATTGCTAAGTGATGTGAAGCTCAACAAACAAAGAAAAAAGTAAAATTAGTAAAAATTTGTATTAAAAAACAAATGCTTCAAATAATTCAAAATGAATGGAATAAATGGAATGCTATGGAAACTGGAACAAGACAGATTCTTTACTTTTCAACAAAAGATTTTTCCAAAGAAGAGAAATAGGCAGTTGCACACACTGAATTTTAAAATTTGTGAGTCATGATGACAAGAGTGTCTTTGGATATTTGTTGCCATCTGAAATTTTAGTTCAACCCAACTATATACTCTTAAACAGTTTTCCAAGCAAGTTTTAATTACAGTGATCTGCAAAAATGTTGTTCATTGCATTTCTCAGGGCTGGATCTGAAAGACTGGGCCTGAAGAGGAACCATGACAACTCACTTAATATGTGGCTGCAGGCCAGGCTGCTCCTCATAATCCTCTATGAGGAAAGGCAGATTTTTTGCCCAGTGGTTCTTGAAATTTCCAGGAAGATCCTGATCAACATTGTACTCTGCCACAGGAATGTCAAGATGTGCATGTAAATAGCGAGAGTATTCTTAAAAAGGGAAACAATAAGAAACACTGGTTAATGCTAACAGCAGATGAAAGCAGCACTAGAACTCATTCCTAATTGCATTTGTGTCTTAAGTTCTGGATGGCATATCAGGCTTCACAGGGCTACATGTTTTTCATCAGAATGTATTTAGACTTTCGCAACAGCACCTTTGGAATACACCAGACCCTTGCTTGCCATTTCTGGTTTCTCTTTGCAGATTTCTGGTGTATTTACACCTTTGCCAACTGCTACCCAAGCACAGCAATGTCACAGCATCGGTCTATGCTCTGTGAATTGCATGATTCTTAAAGTACTGTATATTGAAAGCACCCTTGTTTAAATAACTATGTTTTTGTGCCAGTTATCTAAATGAAAAGCAATGTTCACAAGTAGTGAACCTAGTGAAGAAAAGCAGAAAAATAAAATGGATTTATAGGATAGGAGTGAGAGAGGATGTTTCTTTTGTTGGGCACTATTACAAAAACACAGAGCTGAATGTAAGCTACATAAAGATTTGCATAATCCCCCGTGTCACCATCAAACTAACACAATAAATTATTTTTTATTTATTGCTTTATTTTTTGTTCTTTAAAAATAGATCTTGTGTATTATTTATGGAGTACAATGATTATTAAAACAGTAACTATTAATCAATAATTATCATTGATATAGTTGTTTCCTAATCTTTCAGTTCACGGTATTAAGCTTGAAATACCCAGTGAGACATAGTAAAATCTGAATACAATCAAAGTGCAAAGGACAGTGGATTGTCTTAGCTGTGTTCCTGTAAGGTGCACTTCTACTCACCTCTGAGGTATTTGACTTTCAGATATTCAGAGCTTGCCTTCTGGCCCAGTAGGGGGTCATTTAACATGACTTTTGTCTGTGCTTTGATCCCTTCATAAAACTGTCCCATGGCAACATGACTCAGCCCTTTCATGTACTGGCACACCTCATTGTATGGCTCCAGCTGGAGACACCTCTGTAAAGGGGTGAAGGAGACTTCATGAGCTACCAGTGCCGAACATAAGCATGCTCATAAGCATTTTTCCTCAATTTCCCCCTGGTCTTAAACCCTAGACGTAATTTAAGAACATGTGAAAGGTTAGAAATTAGAACGTATATCCCATGTTATAGTATTACAAATATAACTTCTCTTCTATAACCTTTCTTGTGTTCTTAAATTTGCAGTTAAAAACTGACATCTTAATTTGGAAAAATGTTTAAGACAGATCATTCAGCCCACACGATTTCTTTCAATCTTAGTAACATTGATCTGAGGACTTTGCCCAGCCTTTTCTTTTTTTTTTAAAAAAAAGGGCAAATAGTTTTGGGTAAAATCCCCCAAATATGACTTTGCTGACTGTGTGCTTTTCATGTATTTCACCAGAGAAAATGAAAAATAGTATGCAGGCTCCTGTGATTCACCCACTTTTGAGCCACTCCTGTTTTAGCAGCCACCTGCCAGATGTTCAGCACCTAAAGGCACCCCTGCATTTGCCCAGAACTAAGAGAGAACTGGCCAGCTTATCCCATCTTATCCTGGGCAAAACTTCTCAAATGATCTAGTGACATGACCCTGGCTCTCACCCCACAAGCCTGGACTGCTTTCCTTGAAAGAAGCCATAGCTGGGCAGCTTGTTCCAGACATCCACAATCCTTTGTGTAAAAGCAGGACCTCCTGATCACAGTTTAGTACGCTTCTCTGTAGTTTCCAGTTGTGCCTCCTGGTTCATGTTTCACTACTGATTCAGTAGATGGCTACATGGCTGACTTTCTCAATACCTTTTGGGATTCTAAATAATTTTTAAACCATCCCACTGTTTAATCATATACAGTTTTTATATATTGCAACTTAAGTAAATTAGGAAGAATGCATGCAATAAGGCCTTGGTTTAATTTCGCACTCAAAGAATGGTCCAGAGATCGGGGTAGAGTGTCCAGCAACTGGGTACTGTCACAAATTTATTTGAACACCTGAAAAATGAATACACAAACGGTCATCTTTGTCTTAGGGCTGGGTTGCTGAAAGAAGATGAAAGACCATCTTCTTTAAGACTACTGTGTTTTCTTTTAGGACAGTTCAATGTTTTTTTTCCGTAGCTGTTCTTCCATAGTTACACGACAGCATA